ATCAAATCACTATCTGCCTCTTGAGTCTCCAAGGTGCAATTACAGACTAACTTAAAATGGTATTTTTTTGCAATTATATCTCAAGCTGCAGTTGCTATCATTAATTCGACCTGAATATATGTATTTTTGTTCTTTTTTTGTTGGATAGTATGGTTTGATGTTAAACCACATAAATAGATTACTACACACTTTAGCAGCTACAATATGTTTGGATTGGCCTCACTTCAGTGGACACAACAAAACAAACAAAAGATTTTCTGCACACATTAATGCTTGTTGAAAACTGTCTGATTGCACAAGAGAAATTAAATTCTAAAAAATGCGAGTGTGAGTGCTGAATGATGGCATGTTAAGGTGCTAATAAACAACTGCAGGCAGAGGAGACAATGATCACCATAACTGTGATGCTCTGGATTTTCAAGCCCAATTTGCATTCTGTGGACTCATTGATATTCACTGCAGGTTTCTCGGAATCAAAGGTTTGACGCACACATGTATGACGTCACAAAATAAACATTTCTCTGCACATCCGGACGAACAAACTGATAAAACACACAGTTATGCCCACAGAGTAAGACTCTTTCATTGGAGTTGATCAGCGTCGTCATGTTTTGAGAGTTGATCTGTGAACTGATTATTCTGGATAATCAGTTCACAGATCAACTCTCAAAAATTAAAGATTGGCATGTTCAGTCACTATGCTTCATCATTTGCTGTTTGGGGAATGCCAGACTTTTTAATGTCACAGTACCGCTGCCAACAGTGTTTTTTCTCATAGCTCCTACATGACAACCTTCTCGGTTGCAAACTAACACTTTGGGCGAGGGCTCAGTGACGCCAACTGTCAGAAATAACAGGAGGAAAAAAATGTAAGAGGCTGCAAGAGCCATATCATGCCCTTTACCCATAAGCTGACACATTAATTAACACTTCATTGTATCTAAGGATTACAATACCACAGCTCTTTTTTCAGCCCCCTTTGATATCAGCAGTACAGATTTCTGCTCCTATCTGAGAGTAACTTTAGACACTTAGAGACAAATTACACCAAATTGCCCCTGAGGTATGTTATTTTTGTAACCCTTTTTGTTTTGTTTTGTTTGTTTGTCACTGCATTAAAGAGAGTTTTTTTTTAAACACAGGCTTTGTTTTTGCAATGCAGAACAACTTAGCGAAATATGTTTCAGCTAGAATATAAATTGAATTTTCTCTTCCGGGTAGGAACGAAGTACCAGTAGAGAAATCTGAGCTTGTTTCTGCATGAGGTAAGTTGTATGATTACTGATGAGAAGTTGTTGTTATACCCAAGTGACAAAAAGTCCAAATGTGCTTGGACTTTCTGTACCACAGCCCAGCAAATGCAGCAGAGTCTGAATACTCTTAGCTGGGCCTGTGATTTAACAGTACCCTGTAATATTTAAAAGGCAACACTTACAAGTACCACTTCCCTGTGATTAATTTCACACCTATCATGAAGGAGTCTTTCACTGTGCCTTGATCGAAATATTTTGCCAAAAATTTAATTGGAACCTAATGTATCTCATCTCTCAAGCTCAAGCAGTTCATTCACATTAAAATGGCTTGAAGTTTAGTCTGATTATTTAAATTTTTTTTGTAACCTGTTGCCTTAGTGTTTATGATTTGAAAACAGTTCAAATAAGACATAGAAATGTGTCAAGTGCTTGCTGCGGAATAACTGTATAACTCAAGTAATACTTGGAAAAGATTTCCTGTGTCTCTTCTTCAGATATCACAATAAATGGTCACTGAAACATTGCTGAATGGAAATCCCCTAAAATTTCTTCAAATCTGTTAAAATGAGTTGGAAGTAACTGGATAAAAATAAAGCTGCTGTGCAGCAGAACAGCAAGACCACATCATCACACACACTACTAATCTCTAATCCACAAACTATTCTTGGATAGAGATAAAGCAACTTTTGCTGTACACATAATTATATCAAATCCTAATAACATATTCATAAAACCAACTATTTTACAGTTACACCAAACTAAATTCTTCAGATTGAAAACAACACATAGCACTGCTGCTTTAAACATTTGACGATGAAAGAAAAGTTAACAAATAAACTCTTCAGTTTATCAGAAAAAACTGCAGTCTAAAATAATGTAAAAATTTCAGGGGGGAAATTCAGAAACATGCATATTAAGCACGAATAATTCCCAGCTCAAAGTTGGGCTCTCCACCCACCAGACAAAGCCCATTGCACCATCTAGTGCCTACAGTCTGACAATTACTGGAGAGCGGCGTTCATTTCAGTTCCTTTTTTTTTAAATTGCAAAATAACATATCAGTGAAGAAACAAGGTTGTGAGATTTTCCCCATTCATATATTTGTTTTTCCTGTAAGAACACTGTTTTTACAAGGCCAACGTTCAAAAACGACAGAGCAAAAAGCAGTAAAAAATATGAGTGGGTTTACTTATCCATGCTGTGAAACAGAGCTTGTTTCTTTATCAATTATGCTTACAAATGGTAGAGCTGTTTTCTTTGTAGGATCTTCTTTCATTTTATTTATTTCGTTTTTACAATGGGAAGGTTTTCATTTAATTCTCTATATTCTCTTCACTCTGTACTTTGCATTTAAGACATGTTAGAGCAACTGTTAGTGTCCTGATAAGTTTCAGCCAGCTGCTCTTTAGGTTCTGGCTTTTTTTTGTGTCTTGTCTTTCATTTTTAAAGGTGACCTATCCTCTGATTTATTTAATCTGTTTCTTGCCTTGCGACCCTACCAACCATTGTGGGCAAACACAGAATTGTCTTTTTATCTTTGATTTCATTAAAAAAATGACACTGGAGACTTTCAACCATCGAAGTTAAGATAGTTTTCTTGTCATATTTATTTGATGAAAAACATCTATGTTTGCTCATGAGCAAAACAACACCATTATCATCACCCATAACAAATGACATTTTTCGAGCCCCCAGTCCTAGTCCCCCTAGTCCCTGAGCCAGTTCAGCCTTATCTCTGAGCCCTCAAACAGTTGGGCCCTTTGGTCTGCATCCTGGGCTCTTGCAGCCCAGAACACTTTCTGCTGCCACAACTTCCCATTGTTAAAAACGTCCGTGCATGTAATTGTCATTAGCAGGGCTGACATTATGTTTTAGATTGCTGGATTTGTTTTTTAAAAATAGAGGGTTTTAGAAAAGGAGAGCAGTTTAGAGTTAGGATGGTACGTTCAACATCACTTTAATGACTTTGAACCTGAGAAGCTGGGTTTCTGCCGGCAGAGCCCTGTTATCAGTCAGTCACGCTGTTAAGAGACCTCAAGTTTTCACGCAGTCACCCATCAAAACCTCCTGCTGTACAATCTCTTCCAAACATCACACATCAACTTGTGGAATTAGTTGGCCTCACTGCCCACATAGCCTTATTGCTCTCTCTCTCTCTGCCTCTCTCTCTCTCTCTCTCTCTCTCTCTCTCTCTCTCTCTCTCTCTCTCACACACACACACACACACAAAAACACACCTACAGACAGATCAATTCGAAGGCTACCTTCCTCCACATCAGGAAGTGTTGCACAATAGGTGGCCAGCGGAGGAGTCCTCCCACTCACGGGATATTAAATTGCAGGCATGTGCAAATTCAGCCTCTTTCCATCTCACTCATGTTCACAGGGGATCAACCTGATTTATAAATACCGTACACTCTTGGGCAAGTGTCCATTGTGTGAACACACCCACAAACATTTAGACCCAACAAACAAGCACACATAAAGGCACAGACACCCACTCTGTCACATACAAATCTCTTCAGGTTTTGTGTACTGGATTTATGAATGAAATGTGCCAAAATGGCTCAGAGTGCACTTCCTTCATTAACTCAAATGTTGACTTGGTTGTCCAACACTGACTTTACTGACATTACGAGATTTAATGTTTGTTAGAGGTGATACTTTTGTGTTTCATAATGAGGACAAGCAGAGAATGTTCCACAGCCACTGGAAAAGAAATAAATTAATCCATCTGGTGTAAGCACTGATGGACACTCAGATCATGTGGCAAGCAGTTGACTGTACGGTTACCGTGAAGGATTGAAACTTGTGGAAAGGCAGTGAAATTACATGCCCAAAAGCCTTGGTCCATCGTTTCCTTTCGGCCTTGTGTTACACATCATCAAACAAATTATGTCCATTAGGATGATGAGAAACACATACTAGACACAGATGGCTTTCAGTGCCCCTCCAGGGGGTCTGGGCAGTGGAACAGAAAAGCCATGTCTTTAGACCATTTGCAGAGTATAAATTTAAAGTCAATCTTGAGTCAGTGTACAGTAAAAGGCATGTTTCTCCTTCTGTACACTGTTTTCTTTGTTTCATTCAAATAGCATAGCAGTGATTAAAATGTTAAATACTACATACCCTTGAAGCAATTTTCATACTCTTCAAGGAAAAAGGTAGACTTAAAATGTTAGTTTTTCATCAGAATTATAGACCATAGGTATTGGTTTTGGAGAAGCTCAAATACATATGCTCATAGATTGGAATATTGTCCTTTGGGATGCAGAAATGTAGGCGCAAAGAAAATTATCAATGAGCACTGTCACATTTGAACACATGGTTAATGTCAAATGAAAGAGAGCATTACTAAGGGTCCTTTCTCCTCTTGTCTCATGAAGTTGTGTTAAGAAGGGATTTTGGTGCCTACATCAGTGCAAATCAGTGCATGGCCTTAGACAGGTGCTTTGGTAGGCACAAAACATCCATTTTCATGTGTTCAAGGCCATAAAAGCTATGTATAAAGATATATATTTATATATATATATGTATATTTATATATGCTTTCAGAAGGCTGACAATCCTTCTGAAAGTCTTTAAGTTTTCCACTATCCCTCTTATTTGACCACAACTAAATAATTTATTTTTGGGAGAAAATGACGTTGCATTATTGGAGCAACCATGAACAGACTTAACTCTGTAAATACCACAGATTTATTTATATGTTTTTATAAGGCACACCCCGTGATTTTAGAGGAAGCCACTCGCTTCCTCCCACCGCTAATTGCTGCAGGTGTGGAGCTGATTTTTGCGCCAGCACACGGAGGAAAACTGCGCCCGACGCATTCATGCCGCTGTAAAGGAGTAAAAGGACAATGCACATAACACTTAACCTCTCAGGCCCTTACGGCGCCAACCTGTCAGACACAGACCCTGAGAGGCTGCGGGAGCTGAGCCACCGCTCCGTCAAAGTAAGCATAATCATCGTTCTGGGCGCAATGATTACGTTGGGAAACGTTGCAGTTCTCCTGGTTATCACTTCCTCGGTGGCCGGTTGGTCCAGAAACTCTCGGTACTTTCTCCTCTCTCTCACTGCTGCAGACTCTGCGTTTGGACTGCTGGTCATGCCCCTGAATCTCTGGGTGAGTCTGTTAAAGGACTACACCGAGGGGCCAGACGCTCTGTGCCATGTCGTGGCTTTTTGCAACGCCACCGTCTACTCCACCTGCATGTACACCCTGGCCACGATAAGCCTGGAGAGGTACATCGCGGTGTTTTACCCTCTGCAGTACTCGACTCTGATGACAAGGAAAAGGACGCTGCTCCTGATCGCCTTCGCCTGGTGTTTCCCACCCTTTTTACTCTCGCCAATCTCATTTCCAGATGGCATCATCGAGGTTCATTTTTCTACCGCGTCCCTGGTCTGCAACCCGTCCTACTCCACAAACGTCGCCTACTCCCTGAGCTTGACATGTCTGATATTTTTCCCTTGTTCCATCGTCATGACATACGCGAACCTGAGGGTGTGGTGCGCGGCCAAGAGACAGACTTTGAAACTGCGCAAATACAGCTGTGCGCGTCGCAGCAGGCCCAACGTGGCCTCTAGGGTGCTCGTGCCCGTGATGGCAGCCTACTTCACCTGTTGGACCCCCTGCATGGCGACCATGATCTACAACGGTAAGCAAAGCATAATCTTAAATAGGTCTAAATGGATGAAACACCAGAAACTTGTTTTTGTTGCCTGGTCCTATACCTAGATGTGAACTCTGTATTCAGTATGACATTTAATTGATATATTCACTTCTATGATCAACTATAGGCATTTGTAAGGATAATTTATACACCCCCATCAAACTGTGAGAGTATGCCAGAACTGTGGGAGGAGTAGCTGTCAGATATTTATGTAATTATGGACATGAAAACACTCGTTCACGGCCAAGATGACTCAGAGTTTTTTTCTTTTACTTGTCCCATTTTACCCTGACCATGTATGGTCGTGAAGTAATAAAGTCTGCAAGACTTATCCTATCTTTACCCCATCTTTTGAAAATGGGGCTTAAATCTATAAGATAATAATGAAAATCCCTGAAATATGTATTTCACAGTCTGAACTTTTACAGTCAAGTGTGTCTGCAGGTGTGATTCTCATATTTTTTTCTTCCATTCTCCTGAATTCAAACTCATTTTCTGTGTTGTAATGTGGACAGGATTGCTTCATATGATTCCACACTTGTGAAAGAAATGGAGCAATGTTTTAAAAAAAAGATGCATTCTTGGCTTGGCATCCCTTTCCATGCAGCCCCAAAATTATTCATATCCATTTAGTTAGATTTTTGTTCGTGGGTGTATACTAGCTGGAAATATGATGAACAAGGGACTGCAAACAGGAATATGGTTTGAGAGTGTATATATCTACAGGTCTTAAGTTTCCACCACAGATTTTAGATGGGATTTGGATTGTTGTTCCTAAATAGATTATTTCTTGGTGTCCTCATAGGTTCAATGTTGCCACAGGTAGTGAATTTCTGTTTACCCCTTGATCTTTTTTTCTCCAAAATATCTAGGTCATTATAATGTCTTTTACTGTGAGGCTATCTAGGCCACTGTTGCATTTAAATCCCTTTCAAAAACGTTGAATTCTTATCCACCTGCTTGATCATGTTGATGGTGTGTTGGGGTTAAAATTAATCCATATGGACAAACTAAATTTCTTTTTTTTCTCTCTTGTCCCACTTAACCGCTACATACAAGTTTTCCTAATCTTTGTGTTTTTTCATGCCTGGTGTCTTCCCCAAGAGTATTTTAGTACAGTGTCCATCCTAAAATATTGGCGGTTCTGCAAAGATACATGATGGTCATTACAGAAAAAGGAGTGGAACATAATTCTAGTTGAGACTTGATGGAAGACCAAATTGAATGAACTCTGTCCTCGTCTCACTGTTGACATGGGAGTTACTTGAGTGCTTTGTGCCCACAGCCATCTCGGGAAGCAGCGTACCAGAGTGGGTTGAGTTTGTGGTGGTGTGGCTTCCAACTTCCAATGGTTTCCTCAACTGCATCTTCTACTTTTGGATAAACCGAAACTTCCGCAGAAAATTTAATCTAATCCTCCAGAGGCTGGCTCTGTCTCTCTGCCCTAAATTGGCCGACACCCTCGGCTGCAGCTACCCTTCCACGGCACAATTTACCTCGGGATTTTTGGATAACAACAACAGTGTGCACGAGCGCTCCTCCAGCGTGTCCTCCACCTGCACACTGCTGACCCTGGCCTAGGACCTCCGGACCTGGACAGCATCGCCACCATTACAAATGGATAAGGTTGTGAACTGTGATGCTCTGTCTTAGTGTTTTTGACCCATCCCTTTTTGAATGGGCTACATCAATGACCAGGTCAAAGTAACGGGTTATGTAGGCTGATATTCAGATGGTTTGATGCTCAGGCAAAAATGATTGTACAGTTATACATGTTTTATTTTTTATCAGTATTCAGTCAGATAACACAGTTCAGTTGATCAGAGCAGCCTTTGTTTAGAAGTGGTTTGGATTTTTAGTTTTGTTCATAAACGCACTGTAATGAGGATTTGATTTTTGAACAGAAATGGCTTCTTAAACCACCATTTTAAGTTGTTTTATAGCCAGCCATCATACTTGCCACAGAAATGCCTGCCATAAACCTGAAAACCTAATGCATTCTGCACGTAGGTTTCAGTAACGCCACCCTGTGAGGCTGTGCTGCTTAGGTCAACGTATCTCTGATATTTGGAGTTAGTTAATTAGCTCATCAGAAGAAACTGATATTTAGGCTTCTTTTCATTTGAGATATGTGTGAATGTTACTGATTATCATAACTTTGAACTGGAGCCGTCAGCCTCTTCTTCTTTTTAAACTATGCATCAAAGATCGCAGTATATTACAGTGAGGAGAAAATAACCTGAAGTCGCAACCTTTCCATGCACACAGGGAGAAAAGTAATTAAGCAACAACACTGCAGAAAGGTCACCACGTTTGTGCTGGGAAGAGATAACTTGTGCTTGGAAGATGTAGACTGGCTATGATATCTCTAAACAAACAAGCAACGTCTGGAGTTACTGCTCAGTGTCTTTACCTTCTGCTTTAGTTCAACTTGGCAATTACCGTGTTCAAAATTTTGAGAAGTTTACGGTCACACTGAACATTGATGTAAATTGAGAATGGTGTATGGTTTCTAAAAACACTAGAGAAACATTTTATTAAATTAATTTTAACCTTTGGGTGCTGCTGGGTGTTAACATCAGCGAGTATCAGAAAAATGACTTAATGATATTTGTATGTACATACTGTGTTTCTAAAGTCAAAATACGCATAATAAATGTATTGATCTTTTTGAAATAAAGCATAATGCCTTTGAATGTTTTAGTAGATTATTTTTACGTGATTCCAAAATTTCGGTGTGTCGCATAACTGAAAAAGCATTTGAAAGGTCCTGGATGCATAATATAAGTAACCAAAGAAGAAAACAGAATACATAATTAGCCAGCTACCAATGGCCACCTTTTGCTTCTATTTTCTTTGAATATCTGCAGAACCCAAGACCTGGTTTGTAGCCATACACACATTATCTATTGAAAAATTTTTTTTTCAGTGATTTAAGGTTATTTTGACATCTTTCTGCCAAATGGGTCTCCTAGGACACTGAAATGTTGTGCGTTACCACCCTCAGCTTTACAGAAAGGACCAATGAATCAGGGATTGGGGACAAAAGTACATCCAAAGGTTCATATATTGATATGTCATGCACTTTTCATTCCGTGTTGCCAAAATTCCTGTCACAGCAGGACTGTCATTGCACTGAACCGCTTCTTGAGGAAATGTTTTGAAGACAGAACCCATAGGTAATCTAGGACTGGTTTTTGTCACACTGTAACAGTCAAAAGTTATTTATATAGTATCTCCACATGTATGTATTTAAAAAAAAAAAAAAGTGAGATACGTTTTCATCCATGGTTCTGCGCCTATGAAAACGTTATGCTAAACAGCACGTGGCCATGAGACAGATTATTGTCTTCACCTCTGACAATTTTTTTTTAAACTGGATTACTGATTTCATGAGTGGTTAGTGCCATCTTGTGTTTTAAAGAAGCACAACATGAGGAAAAAAGAGACCTTAAGAGTTTACAAACTGAATCTCAAATATTCATGTATCAAGTGAATGGTGAAATGCAGGACTTGTTAAATGCTACTTAATATTTTTGGCTTCAGTATTTGGATGGATTAGAATAATAACAGCATTTATTGTCAAGCAAAGGGGGAATCACATTTTAAAATGGACTAGAATAGATTTATTTTTAAATGGATTAGTAATTGTGATAAAAATATGTACCACAAAAGCTCATTTAAGTGAAAAATACAGGATGAATGTCCATTGGTGCTGTGTGCATTGTTGGTCATGGGTACTCTAACCTGTGAGGGCTGCAGTGGAGGTTGCTAATGGAAAGGGTTTTATTTCAATCAGCAGACTGTCCTGCTCCTCTCCACTTATAGCTCATTTGATCTGTGTGCATGTCTTGTCAATAAGCGAATGGACACTAAACATTTGTACATAAGTTTCTTGTTCACAAATTTTAATGATTTAAAAACTTGATTAGTACTAGTTCCTTTTATTCAAAGACAGAAAATATTACCAGAAATGGCAGGTGAAACACATTAGAGATGAAACAAAGACAATTTAGATTTAACAAACTTCACTTTGTCCAGTCAAATTAAAAGGATTAAAAAAAGTTTGTTCAGAAACACAACAAATCATCTTTGTGGTTCAATTGTTACCTGTTCTTTATGAAATACTTTATGCTGATGTTTCATTCATCTAACAAACTTAGTGAAGAGCTAAAGTGAACCAAAAAAAATATGATTGAAAGGTTTGGGAACCTGATGTAGACTTAGGCAAAAAAAGTCCTGAATTTATTATACTTACAAAAAAAGAACAAGTCAGAGGATGTTCTATCTTAAATAATCACAGAAACAATATAATTTAACATGATTTTAAAAAGGAACAAACATTTACACACCTGGACTGATTATGTGTTTGGAAGTGACAAATGCATTCAAACGCTGCTCAATGGCAGAACTGTGTACAAAGGAATGGATGAATTAAGCTGTTAGGAGGAAGTTTTTTTTTTTACTTTAACAGAGCCAAGATATTATTCTGAAAGTAAGGAAATCATGAACCAGATTAAAAAGGTGAACAATGACTGCTTTCAGTCAACCTGATGTCATCCCTGATCTGCATACTGGCTTGCCCTTCCGTGTCTTCATTTTGTTTCCTGTGCAAGTGTGACAAGTTGTCTCTAAAAGGGCACAAGTTTTACAAAACGCCGCTGACCAGCTCGTGTGATACTTAATGAAAACATTACACATAAACAAGTCAATGGACATAATGACAATAACGTATAAAGCAACTGAAGGCAGATATTGAATGTCTCCGCCAAACTGTCGACTTGTAGCTCTCTGAGACGGATGAGGACAAAAATATGTTGTCAAAGTGCTCCCTCTATCTTCTTTCTGCTGAAGAGGCTGATCATCCCAATTGTGTGAATTCAGCATGAGGAAATTTTGGTCAAACAATTCAAGGCCGCCAGATGAATGAATGAGATGAAAACAGGTTAGAGTCACTCAAGAGGACTTGTGCTCAAATATGAAGAAACGGTACATGATCCCAACAACAGCTGCAGCGGCAGCAGGTATAAACCACAAGGTCCAGGAGCTGATGAGAAAACAATGCCAAATTACACACTTTCCTTCCCACATTCAGAGGAATTTACATAGCTTTTGGGGGTTTCTGAGCATCAGCAGTGTGAAAAAATCAACAATGAGTCTAACAGATTCAGGATTGTGAATTACCTGGAATCTCCCGAATTTGTGACTAGTTCCTCCTGTAGCAGAAATAAGAGGACACAAATTCATAAAGGATGCAGTAAAGTAAAAAACAGATATGGTGCCAAGATTGGGCAGTGACACTTACCTTTGTATCCTTCTTTTTTCTGTCATCCTACAAAGACAATAAATGAATACTGTTTTTATATGGTGCAGGTAACATCAGAATGAACAGATCTAAAAAACGCGACGTAGGTTCATTGATTTGTTGTGTAGCAATTGGCAGGTTTTTTCAAAATTGAAGGGAATATTCTTTAAGGAGCTTTAATCGTAACACATGAGGTCATTTCGTAATTCTACAATCGAAATAAGTGGACTGAAGCAATACGAGCACGAGTTTTCCTAATTGATATAGTAAAAGCCCTTTCATAAAGCATTTCTTTCAATGACAGTGTAAATGGGGAAATGGTCATAGCAAGTAAGGCTCTTACAAAATTCTCACAATCATTTGATTTGTTACCACATAACCTGTAAACTTGACTCCTAAAGCTTTAATTGAAGTGCATAGAAATGTAAGTAATGTAGAAAAAATACTGGATGTCTTAAATGTTCATATACTTTCTGTTGTGAAGGAAATACTCTTAAAGATATTAAACTCTACTATTTGTCAGAGGGATGTGAAAGGATTATGGATATAAAGGTACATTTTTACCATATGAACCTCCCCAATGTAGTACTGCAGGAGCATCTCCCTGGCATCAGTAGAATGACCAACATCCTCAAAGCTCTCCGTTGCATCCGAACCTCCCTGTTCCAGCAACACCTCCTCACCTCCTGGATGCTGAATAACAGAATAAACACGGACTGCTTATACATTCAATCACATGCTACATTCATCGTATTTAACAATAACTATTGCAATTGTGATTTGTGCTTTTGCATGTGGACGTTGAATTCAATTTCACACACCCAAACATAAACTAATCCATTTTTCCCCCCAAATAATCATTTTCAGTAACCAATCATAGCTAATGTTAGCCAACCAAAGCAGTGGACTGTTGATGAAACCTGCAAACGTAAAACGTCAACTTATGACACCGATAAGTCGTAGAAGTTCCCGGAAGTAGTCTTGAAGCATTGTCAGAGACTTGACATCAAAAATATTTGTGAATGTATAAATGTAGGAGGAGAAACTTATTTGATATAACTTCAATCTTACCTCATCCAGGAAATGTGTGATGTCATACACTTTATCATGAATGATGAGCCATGTGTCACTGCTCATGTTATGTACTCTTATTTCCTCTAGCGTGTAATATTTGACACCACTATCTGCGGCTTCCCCGTTTTTCTCACTACTGGAGTCGATAGCTGGTCCGCTGACCGTGTTTATGCTGTCATTAATTTCCTCACCCATTCTGAACTTAGTGTGAAAAATCTTTATCGGCTGAGACCTAGCTAACGTTAGCCTCTCAATGATAGTTACGGATGCAACGTTGGCTTGCTAGGGTGTAGATTCGCTTTTCATAGGCTTCCAAACTAGTCTGAATTAAAAATTAATTCTCTCTAACAGCGCAAACGTCTTACTGACACCGCAAAAACAGAGACGCTACCGAAATGCTACATAAAGTTGTTACGAAATCTCCAAACAACCTACACCGGTAGAAGCATCAGAAGACATGTGAAACAGACCAATCATATCCACCAGAGAGGGAAAAAACGATCGCTGACCAATCAAAACAAGCGTTATAGAATCATGACCAATGAGATTGAGCGCTCATGAACATGCGACCACAGAGTCTAAGGTGAAGATTATCAAGTGTGCGATGTAAATGCGCATACCATAACCGTGCACGGGATTGGCGTCATGTGACGCCATTACATTAGTAATAAACCCTTTTCATTTGCTCAAAGAAGTCAAATAGAATAATCAGAATGTTATTTAAACAATTGTATATTGTGTAAAATAAGACCTCCCGTTCTTCTCGATTATGTGTTTGCTTAAGAGGGTTAAGCCTTTGGTGAGATAAGGGCCCATGACACGTATGGCTCTCACAGATAGGAAACAGCCTAAGACTACTATAGATCGAGTATCAACCAGAAAATGACTCTGTCAAATATTTTCTCTTTTTCTGCTGTGTAAAAAATACTGAAGTGTGGTTTTCAACATGTATTTATGATATAATCTTTGAATTAAGGGATGATTGTATTTATAGGCTGATATCACTAAAAATTGTATTTGTCAGGAGCAAATCAAGAAAATCTGAATTTAGTACATTGATGGGGAAACTTTTTGACCATGTGGAATCGTACAGGGAACACACAAATATAAAATAAACGGATGTGCCCAAAAAGTTCAAACACTAGTGCAGCTTAACTAAAATAGAAATGCTTCTTTATTTTAACGGCATGTCTGCCATTGATGCAACTAATTCCCTCCAACGTTCACATTGAACCTTAAATCCTGTCTATCTTTCAAATCAACAATAATTTTCTTTTTTGCTATACACAACGCTTTTAGACCAATCATTCAAATGGTCAGTAGGCGGCACAATACATGTTTGCTTCAATTTCTAGAAGAAGAAGAAGAGGACAAAAAGAGCATTGTGGGATTGCAATGGCTGCTCCCGAGTCTGTAAACATACGCGTCGTGTTTACGAAAGCTGCTCGGAAATTATTGCCCAAGGCGTCACTCTCCATCATTTTCGGGTTTATTTCCCCGATCATTGTGTGTCCCCTTTTCTGGAAATTCATGTGAGAGTTTTTGTTGATCAGACTCAAAGAGGCACCCGAGTTTTTTTGGGAGTTTGCCGCTTTTAGCTGAAACAACTCCCGTAGAAGCTAGCGTTAGCCGCTCAAACTGAGGTACGTTAAAAGTAATTTACTATATTTAACCGAAGGAATTGTAAGTATCACACCTTAATGCTATTAATCGATAGAAGATGCCTGTCTGACTGTCTTTTTTTCCGACACATTAACACGAGAGACAGTGGTACATTTTGATACACAAAGTTTCCTTGTGCTACTTCTTTGATTCAGATACTCGTGAGTTTTGTCAGTGTGTCTATTTTGGGAAAAATTGTCCCACGCTGGTGTTGACTGTCACATATTATCCTCATTGTGTGTATTTTTGTTAGATCATTAAACGGTAGTTTGTAACGCAGATATCTTAAGTCAACCAGGACATAAATGACTACCATGGCAGTCTTTTGAAAATAAGATTGATAGATTTCAAACATGATAGTTAGCCAGCTAACAATGGGGCCTATCCAACTTACACTGGAAAGGATAATAGTGACATTTTGCATTCCGCTTATGCAGTTTATGTTGAAGGTTAGACACTGAAAGTGTACAGATTATACACAACACCTAGACTAGTAGATTTAGCCTGGAATTACAATCATAGAGCATCATAAAACCAATCATTAACTAAACTAAAATGGGAATATGACTTTTGTAAGTAATCTTTTGGTTGGCTTTACAATCATGATTGTGTTTTTCTTGAAAAAGAAAAGTTAATTTCAAAATAGAATTGACAGAATTTATTTGGCAAAATGTCAAACATTCGGTTACGTTTCATGGCATTCCAAACATTTTATTCGTATGTAAGATTTGTAACCTTTTCTCTTGTCCTTATTGACCCTCAGATAATGGATGATGAGGATGTGTCCATGCATAGGCTAGAAGGAACAAATCCATCTGCTGAAGTTGGTGGTCTGATAGTGAAGAAGAAAAGTGCCACTGAGGAGCCTCATGTTTTTCGGGCACCAACACCACGCACATCTTTGCTAGGGTTAGACCTACTGGCTGCTCAAAAAAGGAAGGAGCGTGAATTGAAGGAACAGGAAGATTCTAATGGTGATGACAGAAATACAAAGAAGTCAAAGGTTTCTTCTTACAAGGACTGGGAGGAAGGAAAAAGTGACTCTGGGTCTGATGAAGAAGACGATGATAAGGATAAGGGTGCTAAGAAGGAGAGGTAAGTACTAAAGAGACATTTATTAAATCGATTTTTATTTAAAGTGTGAAATTACAACAAATATCTCAACCCACTTCAAATCAGCAATCATTGGATAATGTATAGTTAATTAACTGCGAAATTAGAACTTGATTAAGTGCAAGATAATGTGAATAAGCTTTTTTTCCAACGTGAATCAGAGGATTTAAAATGTTTCTACTTTTCTCAGGAAATATCGTGTGACTGGTTCCGAGACACCCTCCAACCCTGGAGGGGTCAGTGAAGAATTCAGGCGCCGGCACCAGCAAAGGGAGAAAGACAGGCGTGAGCATGGAGTCTTTGCCTCCTCTAAGGATGACAGGGATAAAGACAGAGAAAGGAGCAGAGATAAAGGGAGTAAGCGACGGAGTGAAAGAGGTGATTCTACAGATTCTATGCTCTTTAGTAGTTCTGGTTTGGCAATTTAGTGTCAACAAAGGGACGGTTTTGAGTTTACGCCAGTGTTTAAAGTACAAAAACAATTCAGCAACATGTAAAATAAGATGCAGTTAAATTCTGGAAGTGGGAAACTTGCTATATGCCCGTGGTTCATTATTGTTTATTATTCTTAAGTGATATCACTATGTGCAATAAATTGAATTGAGAGGACAAAAACAGAATGTGTAAGAGTATTTTCTTTCTTATCTTTCCATTAGATGAGCGTGAAGGCAGCCACGGCCGTGGCAGCAGCCGGTCAGAGCATGGGGAGCGCAGTGAGAGGAGCGAGCGCTCGCAGAGAGACGGATGGTCCGATCGTATCAGCCGGGGGACTAAGAGAGATGAACCAGGGACACCACAGCAGCGTCCAAGAGGTTAGATTGTTTTCTTTTATTTGAATGTTCACAGTTTCTTTGCTTAATTGTTTAATTTTAATGATCTTTTTTAAAAAAAAGATTCTTTCACGCCCTCCCGCTCAAACTGGGACGAGGATGATAGTGGGTATGCCAGTTCAAGACATTCGCATTGGGAGTCTCCATCCCCATCCCCATCGAACAGAGAGTCTGATCGCTCGGAAAGAAGCCATCGCTCCGGTCGAGAGAGTGAGCGAAGGGACAAGTAAGCAGCCTTCATAATTTTAGACTACTTTATTTTCACTGAACCGATAGGATTAGTTTTAATTCTATTTTTACCTATATGTCAAAGTTGAATTGTGCTAAGCCAAAGTTTATAATTTTTACACATAGTGACTGCTTGTTTTTCATATCATTCAGGTTTTCAGCTCCCTGATGCCTATTGTTGAGATGTAAACACTGCAATAAACAATTGCTGAGAAACTGATGTTAAATTTATCTGCTTTGATTTTAGATCTGTCAGAGGTCGTTACTCTGATGACACACCCCTGCCCACCCCGTCCTATAAATACAACGAGTGGGCCAATGACAGAAAGCATTTGGGTTCCACACCTCGTTTATCACAAGGGAAAGGTATTATTGAAGAACAAAACTATAATTACTGCAGTGGAAGATTTAGATTCTGACAATTTCTGACTTTTTTCTCTCAGCTAAAAGAGGAGATGGTGAAGGAGGCTTTATGTTCGATGATCAAGATGAAAAAGAACAGTGGGAGGAGGACCAGAAGGTGACCCCTTTGTTTATACCACATAGAGACTCCAAACTCTTTGCAAATGACTAATGTTGTCCCCGTTTTTAATTGTTTCCCTGACTTGCAGCAAGCAGACAGAGACTGGTACATGATGGACGAGGGCTACGACGAGTTCCACAACCCTTTCACATCCACCTCTGAAGATTATGTAAAGAAAAGAGAACAAATCCTTCAGAAACAGACTCAGAAAAGAATATCTGCTCAGAAGCGACAGATTAATGAGGTACAATCGCATTGTTTTTTTTATATAGACCTAATCAGAACTACAGGTCTGCATAAATAGGCATGTAATGCCTTTGTTTCACTTTTGAGCACTATCTTTAGTGTAAAATATTATAAAGTGTACATGATTCCTCTAACAAGCAGTCTTAAATGTTTCAGGATAATGAGCGGTGGGAGACCAACCGCATGCTGACAAGTGGGGTGGTGCAAAGGTTGGAGGTAGATGAAGATTTTGAGGAAGACAATGCTACAAAGGTTCACCTACTGGTCCATAACCTGGTCCCTCCCTTCCTGGATGGAAGAATAGTCTTTACTAAACAGGTAAATCTCATGCAATTTATGGTAGAAAGTCTTTCGTGTGGATTTTTAACGATTGTGCTGTCATATTGATTTAGAGTAAGTTCTCTTCCAGAGACTTCATCGGCTAACAAGCACACGTACTTCACAACTTTGTGAAACTTCTTTAACTGTTACTCTTCCACTCTCTCCAGCCCGAGATGTCTCTCTGTATTAACGCTTAAACATTTCAGTAAATGCAGTGCTGTAATGAATCTGAATCTCACAAGTACATTTTGGGGAGTTCATCATTAATGATGTGTTTTTCCCCCCCCTTTCAGCCAGAGCCTGTTATACCTGTAAAAGATGCTACCTCTGACATGGCCATCATCTCTCGAAAGGGCAGCCAGCTTGTCCGCAAACACCGTGAGCAGAAAGAACGAAAGAAGGTAGGCTGGACCTGCAACCAACATTCTACTGGATTTCAGTGAGGCATGCTGAACTTTGTGATTCTGCTAAAGAGTGTCCAAAATCATTCACCAGTGCAATAATGGTACACATATTCAGATAAATCAGTGATTGTTATGCCCAAATGCTTTGCCTTTATGATTGACGACCTTTGGAAAGAGTTTTACAGAATTATTTTTCTGAAAATGGGCCAGTGGGATGGTAAAATCAGGGATTTGATATACCCACCATCAGTCGTAGAAGTCTTTGCAATTCTTGACACAAAGATCTTTATTTATGATCGACTTTTGAGATAATCTCTGCACATGCGTTAATTGAAAAAGATATGTTTCTCTGTCTATGGGCTTTGTCAGTGCACTTCTTCTCACAAGTCAATACTTTATGTAATCTAAGTAAATGCAATATTCATCGTCACGATACCTGTGTATTTGAAGCCAATTTTAAGCGTAAACCGCCATCAGTAATAAGAAACAGCTATACAAATGTTACATGGATTATCCTCCACTCCCTTCTGTGCAGTATTTTGAGTATCTATGATGTTGCTGTCCTATCATTAGTTCCACGGGTGAGCTTTTGTTTTTACAATAATTCAAACTAATCATTTGTTTATTGGAATAACTGTTTTCAGGCTCAGCACAAACACTGGGAATTGGCCGGCACCAAGTTGGGAGACATTATGGGCATCAAGAAGACTGAGGAGGAAGAGCCTGGGAACAGAGTGGTGGGCGAGGATGGCAAAGTAGACTACAGGTGGCCATCTGCACAAGCTTAACTCTTAAATTTGTGAGTTTGTTTGAACTGCCATATTCATTTCTGTTTTGTACGCCTAATAGAGCCGATCAAAAGTTTGCTGACCACATGAAAGAGAAGAATGAGGCCAGCAGTGAGTTTGCCAAAAAGAAGAGCCTTCTGGAGCAAAGACAGTACCTGCCTATCTTTGCTGTCAGGCAGCAGCTTCTCAACATCATAAGGTATCAATACGAGTCCATTGTTGTCTTTATCAAAGAAAGGGTTTTACATGACATCCAAAATATGATGGTTTGTCTCTTATACTACATTACGTTTTCCTTCATCTGCAGGGACAACAGCATCGTGATTGTGGTTGGGGAGACGGGCAGTGGTAAGACCACCCAGCTGACGCAGTACCTGCATGAAGATGGTTACACACGCTATGGCATGGTGGGTTGCACTCAGCCCCGAAGAGTTGCAGCCATGAGTGTGGCCAAGAGAGTCAGCGAGGAGGTTGGCACCAACCTCGGCGAGGAGGTGAGACAAACAGGATAATAACACTCACACCTTCCGCTATCCGACAGGACAGAAACTACTCAGAAAAGAGGCACAGCAAGAACAATTTAGGAATGTAAAACAAGTAGAATCTCATGAATGTTAGTGAATGAATGGATTGAGTGAAAACTAAACACACTGTTTAGTGTGTTTAGTTTTCACTAACTGACAGTATTTGTTGTTGCACCACTATTTTTAAAACCCAAAAAACAGAGCACTCACATTGCTCTGTCACCGCAACTGTATAGCTCTGAGTCACAAAGTGAAAACCAGCTGTCTGATACAAAAGGGTTAACTTTGTATCGCGATAATTCTCTGAAACTGCTTCAAAATGTTGAACTTTTAGTGGTTTTATATCATACACATCCCTCCTCTGTGACCCTCTGTGAGAAAGCCTTAGTTTATCTGTCAGACTGTGTGACAACGGAAAAGGCTCACTACCCATAAGCACTGCACGCAACCTCTTAATTACACAACCACCTTTTTTATCTTTAATGACAGCCTCGGACTTGTTGTTCCAAATGGTTGTTACAGAGTGCAGAGTTCAGCCTGGGGACACTTCTCTCTCTACAGCAGAGTAAACACTGCCATCGTGTGGGCAAAACATAAATTGAAGATGCTCTTGAATTTATGCCAAACTGATTATTTTTTCACTTAATTTCCTTACTCCTCCAGGTTGGATATGCAATCCGTTTTGAGGACTGTACATCTGAGAAGACACTGATAAAGTACATGACGGATGGAATTCTGCTGAGGGAGTCTCTGCGGGAGTCAGACCTGGACCACTACAGTGCTGTCATAATGGATGAGGCTCACGAACGCTCCCTCAACACGGATGTGCTGTTCGGGCTACTTCGTGAGGTCAGCATATCACTGACGGCACACAACTGTTATCCCTTAGATAAACTGTAAAAGGCTTCTTTGTTTAATCTGATGTTTAAAAGCCGTTTCCTGGCCTCGTGTCTGATGCTGCGCCCTGTTCTGACGCGGCTTCTTGTTACGGCCTCTTAACAGGTTGTGTCACGACGCACTGACTTGAAGCTCATTGTTACCTCTGCCACTATGGATTCGGACAAATTTGCTGCTTTTTTCGGCAACGTACCCATATTCCACATTCCAGGCCGAACATTTCCAGTCGACATCTTGTTCAGCAAGGTATGTTTTATGTCATTTAGTTACCTTCTCGCTCCAGTATATCTCAAACCGTTATTGTTGCTCACTGGAGTCTCATTTACTTCTGGTCATAATGCATCTTTATGCTGTTGTGTAGACACCTCAGGAGGATTACGTGGAGGCTGCAGTAAAGCAGGCCCTGCAAATCCACCTCAGTGGTATGTTTGGAGACATCCTCATCTTTATGCCTGGACAGGAAGACATTGAGGTTTGAGACACAGCGCACTATTTTGACTCAGATAAATGTTGTCCATTATAAAATTTTTTTTTTACATACCCACTTCGTCACTGTTTCATCTCATCCCTGCAGGTGACATCAGATCAGATTGTGGAGCGCTTGGAGGACTTAGAGAACGCTCCTGCTCTGGCCGTGCTGCCGATTTATTCACAGCTACCATCTGACCTGCAGGCCAAAATCTTCCAGAAGGTTTAGATCACTCACTATATATTCTATTGTAGTTGAGTGCATTTGGATGCTTCCTTTCACTTAATTCCTCTCCACTGACTTTTTAAATCCCCCACAAGGCTCCAGATGGTGTGAGGAAATGCATTGTTGCTACAAACATCGCTGAGACGTCGCTCACTGTGGATGGAATCATGTTTGTTGTGGATGCAGGATATTGCAAACTTAAGGTTCTCCAAGCGTGCATTGTTTTTTCTTTCTTTTTTTAAAGTCAAGCTAACTGAAAGCATTGCTGTTTAACTCACTATATTGTTTCATTTTCATGTCAACAGGTTTTTAATCCTCGCATCGGTATGGATGCTCTCCAGGTATATCCCATCAGTCAGGCCAATGCCAACCAGCGTGCTGGCCGAGCAGGACGTACAGGACCGGGACAGTGTTACAGGTTGGGCCATTGACAGCGATCACTTTGAAGCATGCAGGCCCTAAGTTTTGAGTTTGATCTAGTGGGTTTTTGGGAACTGCATTTAGATTTCTACATTTGTCAGTATTGATAGTGATGGTAAAATGTTTATGAAGAAAGTATCTCCTCAAAACCTAAGATATTACTTCCTTATTAACTAAGAAACTATCCTCCAACATATCCGCACATTTTCAGTCTAAATTGATTCAACATTTCCAGCTAACCCCCTAAATCGTCCCTAAGAATATAACATTAATTAATGTCACTATTTAATGCTTTCCCAGTAGTCGGAAGTGGGAGGAGAGAGGGACCAGGACTTTATTCCTCACAGGTTTTTTTTTTTTTGTCCTTCATTTTTCTCTCTCCATTGTCCCGTTTACCTTAGTAGATTCCAAGTAACACATTCATTGTGGTGCACTCTGAATTCTTAATGAGCTGTGATGCTTATGAAAGCCCACACTGCTCTGGATAAATCCTGCCCAGCTGCTTCTGCAGCAGTCTTTGAAGAAGTGTTTTTTCAGCAGCTTTTCACTAGGCACCCCCAATGTGTTTGAGTCGGTGTGAATGCGTACTTGAGTGGACAGCGAGTTACACCGGTTTAAGAATAGTGAAAAAAGCATTTAACTTCTTTTTAAATTCAGATTTTTACTACAAATGTAATCTTGGTGTGCATAAAGTTCCCACATGTTTCTTTATGTTTGAATCCATTTCTGTTTCCCTCTAACCTTTCAGGCTATACACTCAAAGTGCCTATAAGAATGAGATGCTGACCACCACCATACCTGAGATACAAAGGACAAACTTGGCCAATGTAGTTCTGTTGCTGAAGTCGCTGGGTGTTCAAGACTTGCTCCTCTTCCATTTCATGGATCCACCACCAGAGGACAACATGCTGAACTCCATGTACCAGCTCTGGATCCTGGGAGCTCTGGACAACACAGGTAGGTCAACCAGGCACCGTAGATGTATAAAAAAAATCGTAGATTTTTTTTTAATGTTTCACTTCTTGGAACACATGACAATGGGTTTAAAGAAAAACAACAAAAAAGACTGATTCCCACTGGTAGCATCTATATGGGTGGTTAGTGATTCAGTAGCTCTTCTGTGTCAAAGACTATTACATTTACAGTATAGTATTTTATTTTGAATGTATTGTTGTCAGTCTTACAATCTGGCAATTTCCCCACATTTGTGGATATGTGTATGCACATTAATATATTTCTAATTGTGTGCTTTTATCTTTTGTGCTTAAAAAATATTAAGAAACCAGTTCTTTATCTTCTTTATTTAGCTGTACTTGCTGCTTGTGCTATTGTTTACTGAGTGATAGTGACACAAAAAACACAGGCATTAGACCGGGTGCTGTAAAGAATACTTCACTTTTGATGTAAGACTCCGCAAACAGACTTGGAGGAGATAGGTGTGCAGTTCAGCCAGTGGAGTAATTGCGTAGTAACTGATCCTGTGTTTGATTTGACTGGTCGGGTTTAATTTCTATCACATCCTTAGCCAGATTCCAGGGGATTTGGGGATTTTTGGATAAGGGGGGACTTTTGACGATTCCCTGTATGGTGTGTTAACAGCAGATTATCTCTGATTAAGGCTTACCTGTTCCAAACCGGCTGCTCTGCTTCTCTACTTTTCCTCATCATAAGCTCCTTAGACTCTTTCGTCTAATCATTTAAATCAGAAACTGCAAAGTTTTTGATCTCACTTTCTTTTTTCTGCAAGTATTCTCAGCTGTCAGCGGTTAATTTTTTCCTCTTTCACAGTGAAACATAAAAATGCCGGCACTTCACCTATGCATGATGAAGTTTGGTGGAAAAGAAGCTTATAATTAGCCTTATTTCTAAGCATGTGTTCTTCACCACTCAGACTTTTACATAATTACCCAGCATGTAACTGTGTTTTCCTTTGTCCCATCAGGTGCTTTGACACCCACAGGCCGTCTGATGGTGGAGTTTCCCCTTGACCCTGCCCTCTCCAAGATGCTCATCGTGTCCTGTGACATGGGTTGCAGTGCAGACATCCTCATCATTGTCTCCATGTTGTCAGTGCCGGCCATCTTCTACAGACCTAAGGTTTGTGCTTTTTTGAGCATAGTCGATATTTGTTAGTCAAAGTTGATGTGGTTGGGAATGTTAGGCGACAGGAGAATGGAGGCTTTTCATTCTTTATATTTGAGTCAAAAGAGTGTTTATTGTTCCCTTCACATCATCAGTGCAAAATAGATGCGTACGGTTGCGTCATCAGCTGTTCACTCTGAGCACTGCATCTGCAACTGTGTGCTTGGTTAAAGTGGTGTGTTCTGCCATACCATATGACCTCCGCTGCCACCTCATCAATTTTTACTCTTTACTTGCCTTGGATGGCAATGCAAAACAAGGCCTTTCAGTGGCTCCTTAAACATATACTGAAAAGGAAAAAAAGAGAATTCTTTCCTGAAGTTGCAGGTCAATTTTGTGAAGCCGAACAGCTTGTGCATTTTTTTTCTTTTTAGCACACTGGCTGTCCCCCTAAAAACTCCACTATTTTTTTTTAACTTTGATCATCCACAAAGCCTTTTTTTCTAAAGCTCCAAAAAAATATTTCAAGGAAACCACAGATACATACACACACATATGAGTCTGATCATTCCCTTAGGATTGACTGGAAACCAAGCTTAAGGGTGACAGTTGCAGAGAAATGTGATCCACTATTAGCAGTAGTGCTGCATAGCATCAAACAGACAATTGATTTCGCATGTCAGCATGTCAGTACATGTTGCATTTAGCACATCTTTATTCTTTGGCTAAAAATATTTGAAACTGGGGTAAAAATAAATAAATAAAATGAATATGCCTTGTTTTTGCATCTTTGCAGGGTCGTGAAGAGGAGAGTGACCAGGTGAGGGAGAAGTTCTCCGTCCCAGAGAGCGACCACCTCACCTATCTTAATGTCTACATGCAGTGGAAGAACAACAATTACTCCAGCATCTGGTGCAATGACCACTTCATTCACACCAAGGCTATGCGCAAGGTCAGGCCAGCTCAGCTCTCCTTCAAATGTTCTTTCTGTTCATTTCACAGGAAGATTTCATTCATTTTGCACTTTCTGAACTATTGCATCTCAGCGTTGTCACGGGGAATGACTCTAGCTTGTGCACATTCATTATGTCAGGGGTTTAGTTATTATAAATGTATTTGCAGGGGTTTAAAAAAAAAAGTTGTGTTTTATCATTTTCAACAATGTTGACATTGTGATATCATAACGCATGTTGTTGTTGCATAATGCGTTTGTGCAGGTACGTGAGGTGCGTTCACAGTTAAAGGACATCATGGTGCAGCAGAAGATGAACCTGGTTTCCTGTGGCTCAGACTGGGACATCATTAGAAAGTGCATCTGCGCTGCTTACTTCCACCAAGCAGCCAAGCTCAAGGTACTCTTTGCACTCTTGGCTTTCCTCAGTTAATATCTTAGGCCCAGTGGCAACTGGTTGTGGCAGATTTATAGCAACATAATTACAGAGTGGCGAAATATCCCCTCTGGCCTCACATTAATACAGCGCTAAAATCTGAAAGGGAATTTGAAATCATGACTATATAATAATGGTTCTCAGTTTGACTTATGAGTAGCCAGCTAACCCAAGCAATCATAGTAATGTTGGATATGCCGTAGATTTATTTTCCTGCTGTCTAAGACAGGTTGAGAAGCCAATTAGCCCAGATGACCCGCTCTGTTTTGACCTTAAAGTGCACCCATAGAAAACAGTGACAAATACACATTTAAGCCTCAGCCCACTACAACACCTGGGTCCTGTATTTCCTGTGCTGTAATTTAGTGTAGCTCATTTAATTGGTTATTTATACATGTGTTTGCTCCTAGGGCATTGGTGAATATGTGAACGTGAGAACAGGCATGCCATGCCACCTTCATCCTACCAGCTCCCTGTTCGGCATGGGCTACACACCAGACTACATCATTTACCACGAGCTCGTCATGACCACAAAGGTGAGAAAACCTAACGTATACAGAACTTTTATCTGATGTCAACAGTTTTTCTATTATGGACGCCAGTAATCCATAATTTGGTCTTTTTCCCGTAGGAGTACATGCAGTGTGTGACTGCAGTGGACGGGGAGTGGCTGGCTGAACTCGGGCCCATGTTTTACAGCATAAAACATGCAGGAAAAAGCAGACAGGTAAGTCTACTGGTGGTGCATGACCACTTCTTATTTGGTTCTTTAACTTTCACACAACAAGGACAATGGCTGCACGAAGCTGGTTTCACATAGAATGAAGTCTGGGCATCCTTCATAGTCCCCCCTCTCCATGACTGTCCAAGATACAGCCATTTGTATGTGTCTGCAGCTTTGAGAAGAACGTGAACACAGTATACAGGCAGACAAAAGATAGAAGCAGCATCTGTCATCAGCACACTAACTACTAGCTGCAAATTGTCTGTTTGCTCACCAGCTCTGTTCATACATGGTTGAAATATAGATTGGACCATGCATCTTTTAAACGTTATACCAGAGAGAGGGGATGGATTTTTCTGTAAAGCATCTCACTTTTGAGTTTAGCTCTTAAACTGACTCTTGTGTTTAGAACTCTGAATTATGCTGTGTCTGGTCTGTTTCTGCAATTAGTAATGCAACTGTGGCTTAACTGTTGAAAATCTTTGCAACCTCCATCTCCTCTTGTTTTTCTTTTGTCCATTTGGGTCTCCTATGCTTCATTTTACTTTCAGCAAAATAATTATTGCCTTCGGCCTTTTTGATAGTGATTGCGTTCTAAAGCAATGGCTAAACTAGGTTTTAATACAATCTGAGTACATTCATATATCCGTCTTACTCTTGTAGGAGAACCGTCGGCGGGCCAAGGAGGAGATCACCAACATGGAGGAGGAGATGGCCATGGCTCAGGAGCAGCTGCGTTCACGCCGAGAAGAGCAGGAGAAGAAGAACAACACTGGCACTGTTAGGTAAGTCAGCAACACATCTCTCCCTTTGGTTCACTATATAGGCCGCATCCCAACAGTAATCCCCCGTGGCTCTAATTTTTTATACACAGTAAAGATTAGAAATGTTTAATTTACCTAGTCTGCTGCCAATCCATATCTCTACCCCTCCCTCCCCATCCTCCTCTCCCACTCCCTCCACTCCACCTTTCTCACTCTTCATGATGAGCTTTTCTCACCTCTGGTCCCTCCAGACGAGACAAAAAGAAATAATATTGACTCCTGGCTGACCCCCATTACTGCAACAATTTAAATTGTGCCACAGCAGAACAGAGAAAGGAGGCGAACGCTCATTTTCAAATTAGACCAAAAAATTAATTTCACACCCATCTGCAAGCTTTACAGACAGAAATAAGGTTGTAAAGACTGATTTAAAAGGAGCTTTTATTGTTAATTAATCTGCTGGTTTTTATCTGTCTAGAGTTTAGTGTGACAGCTATGTTGAAAATAATCACACTAGAAGTATTGGATTAAGAATTAGATTTAAGCGAAGGAAGTTGGATGTGTGGTAATGAAGTTAAAGGCTCTCCTGGGCTCGTGGCTGCCTTTGTCCTCTGGAAGGCCTCACAAATATCTCCACTCAAAGTGAACTGTGACCAGGATGAAATATTCAGTCAGTTTTTGCCTTCATGTGCCAGCTGCTTATCGGCCTCCTCCCTTCCCAGCAGCACACAGCACTGCTGCCAATTAGTAAATGACTCAGCCAGCTTTGTTGTGTATACATTTAGAGCATCTCATGTGTTTTTTAGTGTCAAATCCTTTGAAAGAGTGTGTGCTGGTGGAATGTGTGTTTTTTCACAATGAACCTCAAGGACAATATCACTAGTGTACTTCTCATGAAGCAGTCTTTAGACATGTTGGGACAAAATGAGTGTTTGTGCTTCTTTTGGAATTAGTCCTTTTAAAACTATTAAAGCATAATTGTACTTAATATAGTTGCTTTTGGACTGTCAGGTGATGCCTGCATTTCTGAAAGAAAAATAATTTCATTTTAGGAATTACAGCTATATTGACAAAAATGTAAAACTGTCTTTAAGTTATTGCAAATAATCTAAAATATATTGAACCTATGAACGGCCCCCAGAACCGAATGTGTGTGATTGTGCCGGAAAAACATGCTCTTTGTTCAAAATTTTGCCCATAGCTGTTTGATGAATTGAGAATATTGTGCAACAATTCTCCTGAAGTGAAAAGGGAGACAAAAAGAAATGGGGGCGGAGGACTGCCCGGTGACAGGAGGGGGGTTATGGCCTTATGGTGTAATTGCTTCAGGTGTGTGTGTGCGCGTGTCAGCGAGAGGAGAGATGAGAAGTGTGGGCAGTGTCAGTGTCATGTAATTAAAGATGATAGATAGTGCTGTCAGAGGCATCAGGCTCCACATCCCAACAGTCTTCACACAGACGCTCAGTCTTCTCCCCCTCCTCCAGCCCCCTGCACTGCGTGCGTTCACATTGAGCCACACAGCCCCAGTTGCTTCTCATTCATTTTCCTAAACTGCAGCCGGTTCCTTAGCAAGATACATTTTTAGCATTTGCATACATGTATGGATGAAGAATGTGAATGAATTGCCTTGTAGCAGAAACAATACAACTTGCCAGCATCTGATTTTTTTGTTTTTGTTTTCCCCACATCCAGAGCAGTAAAGATCTGCACCCCGGGAAGAAAGGAGGAGGCTCCGATGACGCCACGACGCACCCCAGCCCGATTCGGACTGTGAAACTCACCTAAAATATTGAGCCTCTGTCATGCAAACCTGGGCCTCATCAGCACAAGAAAAAAAACTGTTCACCTGCCAGTTATCCCACGACATCACCTGCAGTTCATGTACAGACCACTAGAGTGAGAACTTGTATAAGGTAGAAGGTTCTAACTGAAACCGCTACCATATATACAAAGAAACGCTGGACTTTTTTTTTTCTTTTCTGTATTTTCAGTATTGTCTGTATGTATGAGATATCTGTATAATAATTCGACCTAAGATAGAAACAAAAGCTTTTTAAAAAAAATATTTCTGCCTCTTGGCAGAGAGACATTGCGTAGTATTGATTTAATTTCATTGTGACGTGTCTTTGTGTCCATTCGATTACTTCTTCTTGTGTTGTAGTGGCTTGGACGGCTTGTACTGTCTTGAAGTGCTCCTTTAGAGCCTGAAGCACTATTCAGACTGTACTTGTGGCACAAGTGTGTACTGACTAGCGTTGGACTGTAATACAACACACTTACACAGGTTTAGGCAATTGACCTTTCTCTATTTGGCACAGACCTTGTGCCAGCAAGTTGATGCACCATGGCAGTGACTTCACCATGCTGGATTAAACCAATCAACTGTTAGAGTTGAATGACCTGTGTGTTCACGTCAGTGCAGCTTTTATTGCAGTTTTTACCGAGGCAAATGTTTGCAGGTTGTTTTTTGTTGATTCAAGCCCTCCTCTGCCCTCTCATTTGATTACCTTGTCATGCAGCCACAGATAAACTGTAGTGGATGTGTTTTGAATTTTTTACATGGATAGCTTCTTTCAACATTTCATGTAAATACAATAAAAATAGTCTTTTTGTTTTTAATTGCTTGATGTTGTCATTGCTCTTTAAGAACATATTAAGTGTGGATTTGTGTGATATAAATACTGATTTAATAAATGAAGTCCCCAAAATGCAAATAGATTATGTTGGTTAATCAACTGACCAATCACCAAAGGGAAGACCTGGTAAAAGGATTGTCTTTTACACATTAGACAAACTGTTCATGAAAATAGTTTCTGGTAAATTGATCTACACAGAATTTCAACAAATGGGAAGAATTCCATGATCACAAGGAAATTCCCGCTGTGATTGTTGTCACTCAGTTTTTTCACAATTGTATACCAGTGATTGTTCATCTATCCACCCCTTTCTTCTCTAATGCCACACATCTGCATCTATAATCTGTGGCTTCAGTCACGGATTTAGTTGTAAATGTGAGTTTGCTTCATGAAGAGCCGGGCTTTATAGTAACTGGATGGTACTTGAGTATCTTCACCATGGCTGACACCTCCCTGGCCAGCTGGTATTACTTTGAGGGGAAAGACAAAAAGAGCTCAACAGCTAATAGTGTTTGTGTCATGCCCAACTCCCACTTCTGCACTTATTTCTTGTTGGTCAGTGATCATCTGTCTCTGTAACTGTCATGCAAATAAGTGCGTTATGAGCGTACCCTCTACCCCTTGGTTCTCCAAGTTGTCTTGATTGAGTGTGACAGGTGGAGGAGGGGAAGGATATAATGGACTCCACCAACTTTAATGAGACAAATCTCAGCTATGGGCTGACATTTTGAAATAGTCCTTGTGAATGACAGTGTCAGCAGTCACCTTTACTGAAGCTTTCCAGGGAAGGGTCCTTTAATGATGGAGGGAATTAAAATGGCCTCCGAGGCAGTGCAGATCGCAGCCGCAGGATTAGGTCGCAGAGCCACGCCTCTTGAATGGGCTTTGCCACCACACCCCAAATGAAGGAGAGGACACCTATCCTCCACAAACTATCCTCAATCTGAGATTTGATTGAGGGATTATGGTTATGTTAGATGTTGACGCTGTAAGATTTGTTGAGATGAGCCGTCCTTGATATTAACTGCCCCTCCCCTTGCTTAATTCTCATCCTTCCCTCCTGGCTGAGTGTCTGGTGTCTGACAGCGACAAGCTCTGCTGTCATTACAAACTTAATAAGAGCAAAAGTGAGATTGATGAGAAAAACAGAGGCATCAACTGCTCTTTTAATTAACTCGTGTCCTATAATGGTGCGAGGACAAAGGCACTGAGCAAAGAATGAGACATTTTCTCTCTCCGTCTACCCCTTTCTGTTTTGTTGCCTCGCTCACCAGCAATAATGAACAGCCTTCTGGGACCCAATTACATCCAAGGCTGCATTAGGAGCACAGCAGGCCCAGTGGAAACTTCAGCTGAGTTTTCCCTCATCCCTCGGTTGCCTCTACATGCTGTTACCCTGCTGGAGATGGCCTTCACTTGATTGAATTTTGAATGTTGGACCCCCCACCCCCCCCTTTTTTTGTAGTCCTTTACCTTCAATGGTTTTGTACCCACATGTGGTTTATGATTGAAACTGGAGGCAATGTATGCTTGTAGCTGTCCTTCATGTTATAACTGCTCTCTGTGATAAAGTGGCTTTCAAAACGGTGTGTAATGGGCAGCGGCAGTCAACACACTCACATCTTTGTGACTTGCATCCTTGGTACGTGCAGCGTGTTCATCGAAGGAAAAGGAGATTTGAAACCACTTACCTGAGAAAGTTTGAACCGAAACACAAACAGGGTGATAGAAAACAAAAACAAACAAAATTATGATTGATGGTCATTTTTGAAGTACATAAATAGTTTTGCTTGATATGTGAATATTATTTTTTATTATAATGTGTGTGTATATCACGATACTTCCATTTTATATTGCGATAATTTATCATTATATCACCATAATATCATGTTGGTATTGTTATATGCAACACATTGAATACATCGCAATACTTAAGCATTATGTTGCACTGAAATTTCAGCATTTTATTGCAATAGTATTGTGCTAGTATTCACTAAATAGCAATGGTTCCATTTAATATTGCAATATTATTGTGGTACATCACAGAAGTATTTTTCGTTAAATCGTGATATGTTAATGTTATATCGGGACATTCTTATACATATTTATGTATTTACATACAACATATTACATTGCAATAGTATTTTGTGAGTATTTGCGATACCTCTGCATTTTATTGTTCTGCTTTATTTTGCAATACTTCTTTTTCTATTGTGTTCTGTCATGAAATTTCTGTGTTCTTTCACGATCCTTGTATTTGTTCTCAACTTTTTTGCATCATCTTAAGATGCTTCTACATTCTCTTGCTGTACTTTAGCTTTTTCTAGCGATACTTTTGAGTTCTCTGGAGATATTTTTGCGTTACCTCTCAATGCTTTTTCCCCCCAGCTATTATGAAACACCATTTGAAAAATATTATTCCCCATTTTTGCTCTAACATGCATACCTAAAACTGTCACCCACCTGCACACAACTTAAAAACTTAAAAAACTTAAAAGCAACAACAAAGAAGCATAGCTTATTGGGACTTAATGCAAAAACATTGCGATAAACTATTGGTAGGGAAAGCAAAAAGGATATAACCTAGTGGTCTCCATAGAACAGCAAAACGAACTTATAGAAAACATATTAGATGTTTTGGGGAGATTTGTTACAGCAGTCTATTTCTTAAACTAATCAACTTGTTACAGACCAGAGAGCTTTTGGTTTGAGTATATTTAAATGGGGACTGGTTATAAATCAGTATAATATCCATGACAGCAATGCATAAAATTATTTGGATGATCATTTTAAGTGCTGCTTAGAATACAATGGTGGAAGAACATGTTGTCATGTTATAAATACTGAGAATCAGCACAAAGTTTGGATTCAGAACATACCTTTGAGTCAAAGCCAAAATCTAATGAACAACAATGTGGAATGACAGGATTCTGCAGGAGAAAAACTGTTCTGAATGAAGTTCAGTTCACAACTTCTGTGGGGTAAAAGAGAAAGTGAACAAAAGTCGATACTTTTACCCCAGATTTTAATCTCAGTACTGTATCATTGTGTGTAAACTGTAATTTCCCACATATTAAACTGATTTATTTGCAAAGAAAATGAAAATAGTCAGAAATGATATATCATGGCACCCAGTCATTTTTTCACTGGTCCATTGTCTTATCCCTAACCAGCACTTTGTAGATACAGTACAACAAACTTGGCCAGCCTCCCAATGGAATGCATGGTTATTAACAGCTCATCCACTATTGCTTAGGGGTCTTATTTTGTTCTAGAAGAAAGACTTTATACTGTCAAACTCAGACATCCCATGTGATTGAAGGCCGGTGGGCATGGAACTCTCAGAGCTGCCCTCAAAGCAGCAGCAACGCCTGCTTGTGGTGGGTGGAGTGAAAGAACAAAGGCAGACTTCTTAGGGTTTGGATGCCTTTATTATTCTTTTATTTGGCTGCAATTTCTTGTATATCTGGGTACAGTCATTAAGATTTTTGGTGACATTGGATTGTGTATCTATTGCTTTATGAATAGATGTTGTGACTTAAAACATAAGAGCTGTACATTGCTTTTCCATCGATCAGTATACAAAACTTTAAGGATACATTAAGAAATCAATTTTCCTGCCCTATTTTTAGATTGCAACTGTACTTCCGAGAAGAGGTACAATAATTGGTTATTAAATCAATCCAAAACCTACAAAGTAGGGGGACAAATAATCAGATTCTGAACAACACTCTTTAAAAAAAACGTTTCAACTCCAAACTAGAAAGTTGTAAACCTATACATCTTTTTGCTGCATATCTCTCGGGGCATCAAATAAAATAGCAGAAGGCACAATAGAGAGCTTTTCATTGATAGTTGGATGTTCTTGAGATTCCAAAAGGTAAGATCTGCCCATCAAAATGTTGTCCGTATTTGGGTTTCTCACAAGGACAAGGACCCCTCAAGGATTACATCTTCAACGGAAATCGTCCCATCTTTGCACCTAGCATGTTTTCTGGAAGGCAAATGCTGGAGGAGGTAGATCTCACTTTGGGCTCTCTGCTCTGCTGTTCAGAACTCCTTAAGCCACTGCAAAAGAACAGTAGACATCAGTCTGTTAACTGGATGATCAAAGAGCCCAAAGGCTGGTAGAAACATAGGGTGTAACAATAGACTTTGAAGATAATGATGCTTAAGGCTGTGTTTTGCTTAAACATTTTGCTTCTATTGCCAATATTATTCTTGAAATCTTATTTTTCAGTCTTAAAAGGAAACCTTTCTGACCTTACCATCAATATTTAATTTGTTTTTTTCTTCTTTAAAGGTTACAGATTTGATCAAAACAAAATCATTTGAATAAAAAAGGCGTTATGATGGCATGCAAACATATGATTATTAACCTTCAAATATGATATGTGACCCAGAAATCCATCTGATCAAAACATTTCAAAGATGTCTCAATTCCTCAAAAGCAACGAAAAGAGAAAAAAAAGCACTGGAAGCAATGATACATCTTTTGAAGGGGGTACAATACAATATTCAGAGATTTAAATAAAAGGAAAAACACTTTTTGACACATTATCTCTATTGGTCATCTGATATCTGTATCCTGAAAAGTTGTAGCACTAGACAGAAACAGAACATTTGACATATGATGCAACTGTCTCATGAGTAATTTAATCATCTGTACATTCAAGGCTTCAAGGTATTGCTAAAGATATTCTAGGCCTTAGTATTCCACACTAGGATCAATATTTGGTCAAGATTCTAACGTTTAAGTGATTGCACAAAAAATGACCCACCTCTTTGTCTCTATACTGTAAAATATAAGTATTTTGATCTGTAAAAAATTAATTGGGTCTTCAATACCCGTTCCTAATACTGCTTCTCTAACCCATGTCAGTCACACCTTATTATGCTTGTCACTATCACAAATCGTACTCTGAACTGAACTTCTGGTGCAGGGAGTGTGTCTCTAGCAGGTGTTGTGTCACTGAAGCCGGATCGATATACAGTAGCTGGAGGGACAAAACACAAACCGGTGGCAGGCGAAATCACATGAGCTAAAATACTAACAAGGCTGCCAAAATCCCCGTGCCTCTG